TTCTTTTTTTCTGATGGAAAACAATTAGCTAGCTTTTCACTATACTTTTTGGTGTGTTACAATCCTTCATATTTATACAAAACTAATAATAAATCCTAATTATAATGAACATAAATGAGAGATATGACCATCAATGGGGGAGGTTACAAAGTTAATTAATATTAGGAAGGGAGTTGAGAAAGTCATTATGTTTTAGTCCTATTTAGGTAAATTTCTATTAATATTATTATTTTGATTTTATATATACATATATATATATATATATATATATATATATATATATATATATATATCTTAGAATTTGTTCTTCTCAGTACGTACTACTCCTTATTAATTGCTTTATAGGCATAATTTCACGTAGTCCAGCAGGGACGACGGAAGCAAGGAATGTGAATTTCCCGTGCAAGAGTGACAGCGATTGCTACTACTCGCCAAAATGCAAATGTGGTGGCTTCTTTTGTGTTTGCAACGTATCCCATCCTCCTACTACTGCAAGCAGTGGGTCTCCTCATCGACTCATCAGCGACCAACCTTTAACAATTAGTAGTAATTAATTAATCATGCATGCATGTACCAATATAAAATGCATGCACATGTGATTTATTTATGGAATAAAAGTATTATAAAATACTAGTATTTTACCCGCCCCTTTCACCAGAATATATTAACTCTACAATTTGAGATGAACATGTTGGAATATTGGAATAATAATATTTCTCATTGAATTATGAAGTACATGATAGAGTATATATAGGAGAGACTCCTAACACAACTAGGAATAGAGAATAGAAACTAACTAATATACAACATCTACCACAAATAGGATTAGGAAACTGACTAATAATGAAACACTACCATAACCAATACTACAAGAAGTACTATTAGTATTATTGTCTAACATCCCCCCTCAAGCTGAACTCTCTGGCTGAAGCAAGAGGAAGCTTGGACATTAGCTAGAAACTGGAAACTTTGAGAAGAGAGAAGTCTGACATGCGCCGGTGGCTGCTCACGTCGTTGGAGAAGAGAGAAATGTGACGCGCGCCGGTGGCTGCTGACGTCATTGGAGAAGAGAGAAGTCTGACACGCGCCGATGGCTGCTGACGTCGTTGGAGAAGAGAGAAATGTGACGCGGGCCGGTAGCTGCTGGCGTCGATGAAGAAGAGAGAAGGTTGACGTGTGCTTGTAGCTGCTGACGTCGAAGAAGAATAGAGAAGGCTACTGGAGGTGCCTGTTTGACTGAAGATCCTTGACGTTTTTTGTCTTTTTCTTGGATCCGGGCAATGCCCTATTTCTTTCTTGAAGGGGTGAGTTGTAGAGGTCTTATTTCCTCTTTCACTACTTCCCCTCTTGGCTTTGCTTTTGTGCTGATTTACTTTGGATTTTTATTGGTTCAATAGGAGAGAAAGAGAAGGGAGGTTGATGATTAGAATGCGTGATTTTAGAGAGGAAAAAAAAGATGGATTAAGAATTGGTGATGGAGAAAAGATCAAGATATGAGATTCTTATATGGTAAATTGGAGAGAAACAACAATATTAGTATTATTGTCTAATAGAACATATAAAATTAAAATTATTCTTTGTTAACTTTTGAAATAAATAATATCTAAGAATACAATTTTTAGGTAGCATTCCATTCATTTTATTTTTTGCTCATTATTTATTTTCATTGAAATCAAATCAGACTAGATCAGATCAGATCCAATCAGATTAGATCAGACCATATCTAAAAAAATTAATATTATTATTTTTATTATTATGATTATTATTATTATTATTATTATAACCATTATTATTAGTATTATTATTACTATAACTACTACTATTAATATTAACATTATAATTATTATTACTATTGTTTTTATTATAACTATTATTACTAATAACATTATTATTGTTACTATTACTATTATTATTACTATTATTATTACATTTATTATTACTATTGTTATAGTTATTACTATTACTATTACTAATAATATTATTATTATTACTATTATTATCATTATTATTATCTCTATTTTTATTATTACTATTATATATTATTCTTACTATTACTATTATTATTGTTATTATTATTATTATTACTACTATTATGATTAGTATTACTATTACTATTATTATTATGACTATTATTATTATTATTACTATTTATATTATTATTATTACTATTATTATTATGATTACTATTATTAATATTATTATTGTTATCATTGTTACTAATACTATTATTATTATTATTATTATTATTATTATCATCATCATCATCATCATCATTATTATTATTATTATTATTTATATTATTATTATTATTATCTCTATTATTATTATTAGAATTATTATTAGTATTATTATTACAGTTATTATTATTATTATTACTTTTATTATTATTATTATTTAATTTTTTTTATTATTGCTTTTATTATCAATATTTCTATTATTATTACCTTTACTATTAATATTTCTATTATAATTACTATTATTATAAAAATAATAATAGTTTTAATTTTAATCAAATTTATATTAAATCCAATCAAATCAAATCAGACCATATCAGATCAGAACTAAAACATGAGATTAGATCAAATCAGATAAGGCGAACGAAACGCGACCTTAGATAACTGATATATGATATCATTTAATACAAAAATAATATATGAGTATGTGTATGTGAAAATATATGCACACAATAAAAGAATTCAAATTTTGAGAATTTCTCCTTTTCATAATCAATAATATAGTTCAAGATATAAATGGATATGTTTTGGTTTTAGTGAGCATCAAATGTAAGCCAAATCAATTAAAATCTGTATTCATAATCAATCACTATATCTATTTTAAGTTACTTAAAATATAGTCCTATATTTAATGTTGCGCATACTACACACATGATTTATGAGACTTAATTATTTTTCCAAATTTTGAACCAATTTAGTGACCGTGCAACACAGAATATAAACCTAGATTTGTACTCGTGTGATGCAGTGAAATTTCTACCAAAATTTAAAATATGAAATTAAAAAAGAGTATTTTCATAAGTTGAATTGCTTTGGTAATTACTCATGTCTTAATCTAAATTAGATGTTTACTATTCATATAATTAAGTTTATACATATTGTTAATTGACATTCATACTTATTGTATTATTTGTGTACTTAAAAATTTTATTTAATAGTAACAAATTCTGGTACAGTTTTGTACTCTTTCACTTGTGTTGCAAAAAGAACTCCATTTTCTTTATTTAAATATCTATAAAAATTTCATATTGCTCCCTTTGTCTAATGAGTTGTACTTCACATTTACAACAACAAGAACAACCTAGTTGTACATCACATTTATGAAATTAAAATATGAACATTTTTACATATTTTTGATTAACTCACAATTGATTCTTCTTATTTATACAATGTCAATTAATTACATAATATTATTACTCCGTATATGTTTAATTTGAACATCTATAAAATGAATATAGGCTAATGACCATAGAGGAATTTGCAATGTCGTCCTATAATTATTTATTTGGTATCTATTCAATGGCGGACCCAGACTCTCAAATGAGCAGTGTCAAGAGTAAAGGGACCAGAACTTCTCAGGCGGATTGTTTGGGCATGTGACGAGAGTTTGGAGACAGCGTCTCTAGATTTCTTTTACAAACACAATAAGAAATAACAAAAAATATCAAACAAATAAATTTTATCGTTAATATTTAAATAATTAAAATAACATAATTAAATGACATTATTATTAATTATAAAAATGATAGCATTAGAAAATATTAAAGTTAATATAAATTACAGTGGTAGATAACTTATTTGTTTAAACACAATAAGAAACAACAAAAACTACGGAGTAATAAATTTTATTCAAACATTCAAATAATTCAAAATAACACAATTATGGAGTAGAAAGTATTATTATTAATTATATAAAAAGTTGTTGTCAATACCTAATACTGGTTTTTAAAAAAATTCAGTGGTGTCGGTTGACACCACCGGATCCCCCATGTTTCTATTCTTAATTGTCACGAAATTTTTTTCTTATCTCTCTAAGGAAAAAATTGAGTGGTTATCTTTACTTTCCTCTCACCTAAAAAAAAATTACAACCACAAATTCTATTTTATTAAAAATCATGTTATATCAAATATAAAACATCAAAAGACTCGTAGTTCACTATACGTAAGAACCAAAACCTTTTCTACACTATAATTGATAAGAGCAGTGGAAATGGAGTTGACGTCAGGGGGCGCCATGGAGCGTTTTAACGCCTCTTTGGCGAACACCTCCCCCCTAGGGGCGTCCTTCCGGCGTCGTTCAGTTGCGTCAAAAGTTTAACGCAGTAACGACTCCCCTCCCCCCAACGGCTAATTTAGCTGTTACAAATTTTAAAAAACATTCTTTAATTAAATTTTTTTATAAATATCAAACTCAATCTTCAATCTTCTTCATATCTTTCCTTTCCTAAATTTCCAATCCCCAATCTTCTTCACATCTTTCCTTTTTTTCAATTTTTGTTAACATGAATCTCTCTGGTTCTTCCCCCGACGGTCTTGAGCCAAACGAGTATGCGATGTAGATCTTCCAACAATACGGGAGTAATCCAAGGTTGCTCAAAACACAAACATCGGTGAACCTCAATGAGCTAGAGTCGGTTCCGGAGACTCAACCAGAACCATCGGGAACCAAAAAAAAGTGCACGCCGGAAGAGTCACAAAGCGAAAGGCGAAAAACTGATGGCCGAGGCGGCATGGTTAATCTAAAAGTGGACGCCGGAGGAAGAGTTCTTGATGGCGTCGGCTTGGGTTGATGTATCCGAGCATCCTATCGTTGGTAAAAATCATATGTTTTCTAATATATTTGTGTTGTTATTTATATATTTGTGTTAAAAAATATTTTCTTTCAATTATATACTTTTAAAGGTTTGGAGCAAACGAATGATGCGATGTGAGATCGTATCAAGGAGAAGTTCTTTGCGGCGATGAACAAAGACACCTCCTACCGTACCCGGGACCAACTCACTTCGAAATGGGGCCACATGAATGTTAGAATAAGTGCCCTTCACTAGAGGGGGGGGGGGTGAATAGTGAGGCACGAGAATGTTTATAAATTTTCGCGGAATAAAAATCGCAGGGATAAAGTAAAGAGCGGAATAAAAAGGAGTAAAGGGAGCACACCAAGATTTATACTGGTTCACCACAACGTGTGGCTAGTCCAGTCTCCCGAGAGACTCTCTCGAGCTACACTACTTCCGTTAAGCTTACGGGTGCTTAACAAACCGTTACAACCTGAGAACTCGAGTCCCACGAGCCTCAACAATACTTGCTCGGAGATACCGCACTCCAAGACTTCAACCCGAAGGAAAATACCTTTCCTTCGTACAACCAAGGGAAACAAGCTTCCCTTAACGTGTATACAACACTAAACACTCAAGAACAAGACTCTCTTTAAGAGTAGATGATGAGTAAACTAAGTACGCTCAAGAACAACTCAAACTTCACACAATTTGGCTCTAGAAAGCTATGGAAAATGATGTGATTTGGATGCAATGATAATATGAATATTGTGAAGTGAATTGGTTGTGTAAAGCAGACCCAAACACCCCTTTTTATAGTGCCAAAGAAGGCTCCAACGGACCAATGCAATAAAGGAGTGATTAGCTTGATTTATGGGATTGAAAAGATTTGGGA